AAAAACATTGTTTTCAATCGTTATTGAATAGAATTTTATTATAAACAATTGTCATATACAATTATGCTGTTTTGATGTTAAACATTAAAACAGCATAATTGTATATAAGGATTTTTGTTTGTTTTTTCTGTATATATTTTTTTCTTCATACTGTCGGATTTATATCCATATATTTGCTTACATATATATATATATATATATATATATATATATATATATATATATATATATATATATATTATCTATACTAGCTATACCTATATATATATATATATATATACAGAGATAGATAGATAGATAGATAGATAGATAGATAGATAGATAGATGTACATAAGAATCGAAATCTATGAGGAAGGGCAGATTCACATTCCTCAAACTGATGCTTGCTTAATATGTCAAACGCCTGTCACTATGTAGCGTTGATTTCTATGTCCAGGGTATTTATATCTGGAGGCGCTGTATCCTCCATATTATGCATAGAACACTCCTAAACATACCAATTTTTAAGCACTTGAAAATAAAACGTTAGATAGAATTGCTTATGAAACTTATTTTATGTGCTCCAAGGCCACAGAAGTAGGGCGCCTACTCTTGCCACTACATTGTCAGTGTATATTAAGTTACCAATACGAACACACACATATACACACAGCCACACACACACATATATATATATATATATATATATATATATATAGTTTATGAAAAACTAGGTAATCCGTATGGGTAAACCTAAGGAGGATAAAATCCAGAGAGCCCAATGTAAATTCAGAGCAAATAGTTTAAATAAAAACAGACCACTTTAAGATTCCATGTAATAAATTATTTCACAACAACCCTTTTAAAAGGACTGCGGATCATCAGACTTTACTTCCAAACAAAAAATCTATATCTATATCTATATATATGTATGTATGTGTGTGTAAATCGGTTTCAGATAAATAGTAACTATAGAGAAACAAACTGAATAAAAAGACAAGTGGAAATACTATTCTTTCCGACGCGTTTCCTAAACAATATTCATTTATTTAAAAAAAAAAATATTCTTGAATATTACTCGCTTTCTTTTGTTTTTACCAAACTTTGAATGATGACACATTGGGCCCTCCAGAAGTTTTCACTGACCTTTCAATCACCTGATGAATATTCATGAACGTTCTCAAATTGAAAAGCCTCGATAAATCAATGACATCCTTGATCTTGCAACAAAATAAAAATAATGTACCCCAGGAGAAGAAAGGCGTCGGTTAACAATAGTCCTTGTCTTTGTAGCATATATATATATATATATATATATATATATATATATATATATATATATAGATAGATAGATAGATAGATAATATTAGTGGAAAATATACATACATTACATATGCAAAATATATAAATACCCATACATGTATATTTTTAGAATAAAAATTCAAAGAGGAAGAATCCAGGTAGAACTCAATGTCTAGGACAGAGTAAGGAATGACCATGGAATATTAGTGTTTAAGCCTTTTTTTATATATATAAATATATATATATATATATATATATATATATATATATATATATATATATATATATATATATATAATATATAATGGAAACCGGCTCGGAATGAGAACGTCGAATGGCATTCACATACGAGTAAACACAATAACGCATATATCCATCATCTCCCCCCAGCTATGGGTTAAATACCAGTGAGAATGGGCTCTCTAGCAGTTCACAACCAGCCTAGGACACACTGACAAGGTAACAATTTTAAAACAAACTTACGAACGGCTCATCATCAGACATAGTAGACATCATTGTCTGTTACATTTAACAATATATATATATATATATATATATATATATATATATATATATATATATATATATATTGCTTCTAAATATTACTCCTTACCCATTATTCACGATATTTAAAATATTAAAATTGATTTTTTTAATTTAAACACTTAATTCACTATCTTCCGTTAACTGTAAAATTTAATAGAAAATTTAAATATGTAAAAAGAGGGATGCGTCTGGAAATATGTACATGTATATGTAGATATTTGTGTATGTATGTGTGTGTATACCGATGTGTATCAATACATGTGTATGTGGTTATATATGAAATTGAAGATGTATACGAATATATGTGTATGTGTGTTTACGTAAATATGTATGTGGTGTGTGTATGTAAAAACAGTAAATTCTTTTATTATTACCCTCAAATCTTACTTCATCTTGATTTGAAACTTAAACTTTAATTAAGAAATATTACTCATTTAAGAATAGCTTCAGATTAAATGAATTAGACTTTAACTAAAAAGATATTGCCTTAACTGTCATTCACAATATTAAAATATTACTATTAGTAATTTTTATTTTTATTTTTGTATTAGTTTATTAATATAATATTCAGTTTATATTAAATCCCTAAATTATTTCTGGAGAAGTTAAATATTTAAATTACTATCAAGCATTAAATCTAGTTTATTCGTGGAGTATTTAAACATTTAAATTGCTATCAAACGTTAAAATATGTGTTTTTCTACATTGCCCAAACATGAAGCTATACCACTCCTCTCCTTCTTTCAAAATCCTATGTCCATCTCTCATTTTTTTTTTATCTCTTTACTTCACCACTTTTTTCTTTTTAACTTTTTTCCATTTTCACATATCATTTCCGGTGAGTTGACCGATTAAATAGGTCAATGTCTGATCCTTACCCCACCTCCTCCTGAATGTTAAGTATTGTAATAAAAATAAAGATGAATTTTAAAACTCTCCCTTCCCTCTCTAATTTCGGCCATGTCTCTCACACTATCCCTCACCACCCTCTATGTCACCTTAATACTACCCTTCAAAAAGGTAAATTTTAAATTCATTTTTCCCTCTTCAAAGTGAAGTCAAATGATTCAGAGTAAAATAAAATCTCTGGTGAAATAAATTATAACAATGGAATCTTAAAGTGGTCTGTTTTTTCTTTAAATTAAATAATATATATATATATATATATATATATATATATATATATAAGACGCTAATAGCGAAAATCGCACCGCATCTCATGACGTCACACATGACCACACGAGAGTGAATTGAGAAGTATAAAGTATAGGAATCCGTTGGTATAAACCAATGGCTTCTGTTACCAATTATATTATATTATATGCGCGTGTTTATCGTTGCTTAGAAATCATCTATGTAAACAATGACAGACTATCATCACTGTCTTGTCCGTATATTGCTTAATATGTTGTAATTGACATCTTTGATAATGGCTTAAGTAAGCCGAGAGCTTAGATTGTATTAAAAAAAATATGGATCAATATTGTGAATTTCTTTCTTCGTTCAACGATAATGTTATTAAACTTATCAGATGTTACGAAAAAAATTTACATAATATAAATAGACAACACTTGTCTATATTATTTAATAAAACGTGTATATATATATATATATATATATATATATATGGGTTAGAAAGTTCGCTTCCTGACCATTAGAACTGGGTTCGAATCTCACCATGGTCAATTTGTCAGGAAGGAGACGTCCTGATGTTATCGGTCTGGAGGAATCGATCCCAGCGTGCGCAACCTTTGGAAAGTGCCTTAAAACCATACCACGGATTGACCACTTGGTAGCTGTGCTAACACGAAGTCACAAGTCATCGTGAACGAGTGTCTCTGTGTGTGTATTTGTGTGTGTAAACATGTCTACCTAGAAATCACGTTTGCAATGTTCATTTGGAAGTCAACAGTATTTATATCTGGAAACGATTTATCTACACTATTAACTAGCCTATCGAAATAAATATTGCACATTTCTGATAGTTGTGCAATTGGCCTAAAAATCTTCCTAAATTCATCACAATGTAAATCTTTTTATTAAAAAAATCTTCAAAAATAAATATACATTTCAGAAACTTTAGTTCAGGAATATTGGCTGATATAAAGTTTAATTAACCTGATTTAAATATATATATATATATAACATACTTTTAGTTTAAACCTAGACCACTTGTGAAACGTTGGGTCACTGAAAACTCTGAAGTCGATTTCAACATACCATTGAAATGAATGTTTATTATTATTTTTTTCAGTTAAATATTTCAATTCGATCGTGTCATCATTGGTCTGGTTTACAAGTTCATGTTTCACGTTTTACTGATTGTTTACAGTATTTAATAAGAATACAACTTCCGAGATAAACTCGGACTTTAAATCAGATTAACTTAAAATTATTTTGTCTATTATGCTTGAAAATATTTTTTAAATGTGCCAAAAATAATTTTAAATATTTACAATATTGTTTGTTCAAATAAAGCTGAAATACTCTACACACAACTGGAACAAACAGCTAAGCGGGATCTCATTGTGTCTGTCTTTAAATTAAAAAATATTTTAATTAAAAAAACTGTTTTCTTGAAGAAAGTTAAAATAAAAATACTGACAGTATAAACAGCACGTATTTTAAAATCTTATTCACTTAATATATTTTTAAAATCAGATTAACTTAAAATATTTTTTAAATATTTAAAATGTTGTTTGTTTAAAGGAATCTGAAATATAAATAATTACTCTACAAACTACTGGACGAAACAGCAAATCGGGATCTCTTTGGGTCTGTCTTTAACTTAAAAATATTTTAATTAAAAAAAAAACTATTTATTTGAAGAATGTTAATATAGAAAATACATTATAAACCACTCGTAAATAATCATTCACTGCAATCACAGATTTATATAGATAGATTTTTGCAGGACATTTATATATTTATAATTTATATCTATATTGTTTTTTTTTTACTTTCTTTTCTTTGTCTTTTCTTCTTTTGTCGTTGTCTCGTTTTCTATTTACTTTCTTTTTTTTAATCACGTCTTCCCGCGTCTTTCTTTCTTTGCTATGATGTTTATTTTTTTTTTACCGACTTTTACCTCTTTTTTCTTTCTGTTGCTTTTCCCTCGTTGAGTCTTTGTTTTTTTTTTCCTCTTCGTAATTGTGAGTTTCTTCTTTAACACATGTCTTTTTCTTCTTTCTATGTCCAGCTCCTTCATAAATCATATCATAACTCAATCGAAGTAGAAGATAATCACGGCGAAGAGGTTATAAGGGACAAAAATAAACAAATTAAAATAACTGTTTTCCACTCAAAATCATCTGTTTTTCTGGGAATAACTTTTAACCCATGAATGGAAACTAGAAAAAAAAAGACAACATAAAAGCGACAACAAAGCTCCCACCTCCCGCCAAAAAAAAAAAAGAACAAAAAAATATATAATGTCAACTCAGTTTATACACCTTGAACTCAAAGCATAATTCAAGCAAACTTCTACATCCGGGATCCGTTGGCCCTTTCTTGACCTCCATAACTCCCTTTCCTCTTCAGCTTTCCTGTGAACTCTTTGCAGAACCCGATTCCATTCGGAGAATACGCCAAGAATTTAACCTGGAACGCAGCGCCATCTGTCCACTCGCAACATTCTATTGTTTTATTGGCCGTCTCTTCCGTTCGACTCTCTCGTATTTGCGTTGGTGGACTTGAATCTTGTCAGTGGCAATTTCCCGCTATTAAGTGTGGAGTGTTGCACAATAAATTATGGATTAACATCCTGGGTTTTTTTGTTTGAAGGATTTTTCTCCATGGCCTTATAACTAATTATTCAGAACATGGATTGGAGAAATGGCGAAGTGGATATGTTTTTGCTTGCAGGAATGAACGATGTAAAAAGAAAGAAAAATGTAATTTAGACAGTTTAGACAGTTTCTTCGTGTGACTTACTCTTTACCTCGCCCTCCTTCTTTCTCGCTCCATTCCTCTCTCACATACATTATATATATATATATATATATATATATATATATATATATATATATATATATATATATATGTTACAAATATAATTTTAAGGTATGCAACATCAACATTTATGGGTAAAGTAAAAGTCGTCAATATCAGGCATATATATATATATATATATATATAGTGGAATCTCGGTTCATGAATTTAATTCGTTCCTGAAGGTCGTTTGTAACACGAAATGTTCGTAAACCGAAACTATTTTTTCAATAGGAATCATTGTAAGGAAAAAACTCACAGTGCATTAAAACTGTAAAAAAGAAAAGCAAAACACGGCACAACACACGGCGGTCGACTCAGAAACGATTCCATTCGGATTAACTCAATTCAGCCATGTTGTTAGAGAACCGACATTTTGTCCCATATTTTCATCTCGAATTTTCTGTTCGAAAACGTGAAACGTTCGAGAACCGAGGTTGTTCTGCCTATTATATATATATATATATATATATATATATATATATATATATATATATATATATATATATATATTCATGAATTATTCATACAAAAACAAATACAAAGGTTAATGATTTAATTGGCGAGAAATCCATCGTCGCGAACAATTCAAATAATATACCCGAACCTGTTTATGAATGAAAAGATCCTTGTTTCTATAAATTTCGGTTGCATTATTTTTACAAGCTTTCGTCTGTTCATAGAGACATCCTCAGGTATGGAATAGATTTTGTTCTTGTTTTTTCTCTCAGTAATTGTTCGCGACGATGGATTTCTCGCCAATTAAATCATTAACCTATGTATTTGTTTTTTGTATGAATAATTCATGAATTTGTAAATTAATTGCACATTTATTGAAAGTTTGAATAAAAAGAAACGGATGATTTTTATTATATTTTTTCCAATGTTCGGATAAGTCATTTGCTTTATTTAAAAACGAACTTAAATTGATTAGAATTTTTTTTTAATCGATAAAAATGGCTGATTTTAGCCATATACATACAAGTTCACCTATCGCCCGGTTCATGCTCCTTCCCCGTCTTTTGAACAGGGATATGGGTTTAATCCCTTATTTCCATATTAGGACTCATTTTTCGCTTCCTTCCCTTAATGTTTTTCACTCATTCTCTTTCACTCCCAGTAATCTATTGCGTCTTAGTGGCCATATTTGTTAATATTTTACAAGATGCATCACTAAATATAGAAGCAATAATAAAACACGCATTAGTAAGGCCTTTATATATCACTACTTTTTCATTAGGCATTAACAACACCAGAATAATTATAATAATATTGGACAGCTTCTTTCGATTATATAAACAACAGACACATTTGCGAAACGTTCGTTGCACATTAGAAAATAACTTCACCTTTGTAAGTATAAGGCTAGATGCTAAATACATTATATATGTAGTCCTAACCTATCATTATGTCAACATCATGAGAGCTATGTTTATTCCATAAGACATTACTTTAATAATATGCAGGGTGGTCCAAAATAGGTGGACAATAAATAATTACATTTATTTTGAGCTTACATTTACATACAATTATATTTACTAACACAGTTAAGAATTAAATTTTATTGTGAACAATAATACAAAATCCCTTAAATTTTATTGTCAACAATAATACAAAAGCCCTTAAATTTTATTGTGAACAATAATACAAAATCCCTTAAATTTTATTGTGAACAATAATACAAAAGCCCTTAAATTTTATTGTGACCAATAATACAAATCCCTTAAATTTTAATGTGAACAATAATACAAAAGCCCTTAAATTTT